ATGAACGACACCATCTGATCTGCTTCATGTACATATCTTAAGAGTTTTATTAGCTTAAAATTAAGCTTACAAGTGGGTGCTACTAGCGCTGTAAGTTTCATTCCAGTCTAACGAAATCGATGTGATTGTGGCACGCTGTCAAATGAACTAGTTCGCAGTGATGCAGACTGTAAACAATAGGATGAAATAAAAGTAAATACGAACCTCTTTGAATGTAAAACCGGACAAACAATGAATTAACATCAGGTTTCCTTTGTGCTTTTCCAACGAGTGATCATTCGTTAGAACCTTATCATACCTTCTCACCGACTACAATCTCTTCCCTTGTGTTTATTCTGACTATTTGCTGAGAAAACTTGAAGAAACTCTCAGCATTCTGAATCTCCAATGCCCCATCAAGTTTTATTCAGGATTCTATCTTGAATACTAACAAATCTGACGTACCGAATTTTTAAAGTCAAACAGAATTCTTTTCAGGATTATTTCAAGTTGCTACTCTGATATTTTTCTTCATGAATGTTCTAAGTTCCTACGTGATTTCAGTTCTGATTCTACTCAGGGTCTTGATAATAATAACAGAGATGATTCCCTTAAGATAATATCAGAGATTAGGCAAGATCTGAACAAATGATTTGTATTAGGATTATTACAGATTAATCTTACATCAAGCCTCAAGTAAGAAAATAAGTAAATACCCCCGATTTCCAAAGTGAGTAACACTACGTAGCTTGGATTAGGATCCTTGTCAGAAATTTTGAAGAACGAATGCTTGAAAACATTTAGAGAAAATGTTAATCCTAATTAGATTCTCTATCAGAAAACATAAGTCTTAAGTTAGAATCGTTGTAGGCTACTTTTCCCTCTTCTCAGGACTGCTCATTTGTTGAGAAATCTTTGGAGGATCTTATACGATCACAATCCGAAACCTCATAACAAATAGAATTCAGAAGCTTCTGCAGGATGTCTCGATTCTTCAGTAAGATTTTTTCTCAAATTGAGGCTCCATAATTTGACACAGAATTGTCCTTAATCCTGGTAAAGATCCTGACAACAGTGCTGGAAAGAAATCATTCCAGATTTTTTCAAATTATACTTGAGAGGTGTCCTGAATCTTGATGCGAGGATTCAGTCAACATTTACAGTCATGTCATAGCATACTCTTGAAAGGAAGAACATAGGATTTCTCGTAATACTAAACGAATGAATCATGTCAAGTTTCAGTCAGGATGCCGCCAGGAATTTACCAGGACGGACGAGGGAACCACCCGAGGTGGCACCCTCCGTTTTGGCTCATTTATATTCCATTCGATAGAGTATATTGAGTTAGCCAAAGGACTGAGAGGATTTTCCCCACGGCTCTTCCTTCAAAAGTTATGGACGATTTATTGAATTTTCGACTCATTCCGTATATTTACGAAAAAAGTCACTATAGGGAATTTCGACTTGATATTTCGCCCCTAGATAGGCCTAATGGTCCCTAGAATATTCTGAAAGTTTCAGCTAAAAAGAACGTTTCTTTCTTGAGATATTGAATGTTCAAAAAATAGTCGCCTTCCACAGATTGGTCACAAAAACTGAGTTCACTTGAACATTCAATATCTCNATTTATCGAATAAAACACTCTTTTCAGCATTAAAATCAAGTTCAACATCAAAAGCCGACTTGAGTGATATGTGTTTCGTCGGAGACTGACTCAAAAAGGAAGTTATTTTATCCAATATATATTAAGAATTGCATATTTGAACAATTTTCGAACTAGAATGTGCGTGTGACTCTAATAGGACAGACGACTTTCACATCCATGTTTTCTAGTGAAAAAAGAGAACTAATCAAGTGTTTATATACGTTTGTAAAACGAAGAAAGAAACATCTAACCGAATTATTCAATATGAAAAATACTTATGAAGACAAAATGTTCGTTAGATCTAATTTAAAATATGCATGTATCTCAGATATATAAGATGATGACCTATATTAGTTTCTTATCATTGATAGAAATCAAATCCACTACATCAAAAGATGCGGAACAATATGATTTTCATGCTGTAGGTTTCTAAAGAAAGTTTCAGAGGGTAACCATTCGCTTTAATATCGTGCAAAATTCTTGCATAGCTCAGTTTTTTTAGTATGTATTAGTGACGAAAACTCCGATTGTTAAAGAACCCCGCCGGATTTTTTCAACTTATTCATTTAGAAAAACAAACTACAGGTTTCTGCAGGGCTCGTTGTGGCGCATCGAATGGTATATAAGAAAACAAGTTTTCCTTGTACTTTAATGTGGGTGTGGGTGTGGGTGTGCATCAAGAGAAGATCCATACCCTACCCTAGGATCCAAAAGTCAAAAAACCCTTTTCCCTGTTTTCAAAGATGCTATTCATATAAATTAATCAGAGATCTAGTGCTGATTCTGGATGCAGGAAAATTTTTCTAAGTAATGTTCAATACGGTTAAAAAATCGTTAATATATTAGCCCTTTGGATAGAAAAATAGACCTTTTTAGGGAACAATTTTGCAACCTGACGCTGATCCCCTGCTGTTTCAGAAGAATTTATCTGTGAAACATATAGAGCTCTATCGTGCGCAGTTTTTGAGAAAAATTCACGTTGGTACTCACTTGTTCTGGGGTACACTGGGTGAGTACACGGAATACCTTATTATCAATAAATAGTCTAGACCCATGGAAAGTGACCATTTTTATGCATGAAGAAAGCAACGATGAAAACTAGGGAATATAGAAAATTGAAGAGTACCTAAAACTGTATTGAAAAGAGTTTTAAAAAGAATTTCCATAGGTTTGTCTTAAAACATTCTCAAGACCGTACTGTCTCTGATTACCACCTAATATCCTTCAAGGGCTATAACCAGTGTCAGTACCCTCAGGACATTAAAGTACAAGAAAAACTTGTTTTCTTATATACCATTCGATGCACCACAACGAGCTCTACAAAACCCTGTAGTTTGTTTTTCTAAATGAATAAGTTGAGAAATTCGACGGGGTCCTTTTTTATAGGAATTTCATTAATTAATGCTGGAATTTTTTTATATTCTTAATATTGTGAACTTTGTCTATCGTTTTAGTAGGGAATTGATTGATTTTCCATTTAATGGAAAACTTGTACTCTTAAGAAGAGACATATTTCGACTGACATAATGTAAGAGAAATGTTGTTTTTTTTCATTTTGCAAATAACATTGTTATCGAAAGATTGTTTCCTTTAAAAAACAGAACGTTTCTCGTGTGAGAATATTAACAATTAATTTTTTTTATTTAAAGCATATTTTCTTCGTATGAATTCAATTATTTTCTGGTGTTTCTTTTTATTGAAAGAAATAGATTTTCTCTTTGAAACTAATATTATAAAGTAACCGAAATGTCAAGTTTCACTAACATTTATTTTCAATAGATCGGCATTTTCAACTTGAAGTTATCTTGTTTCTTTTATTCTTCGTTCTTTAGAAAAACTCGCCCTCTATCGGAATGATTTATACGTAATGGCGTGGGTCTTTGTACGTGCTCATAATTTCAATGACTCATAAGATAGTAGAAATAATCAGCATGACATAATGGATAGGAGTTTCAGAACAATGAAAGTGCATATGAGTCAACCTTTATATAACTACACTATGAATATATATTTCTCTTTCCAAATTTTCTAGTACATTCGAGATATCCACGTATGAGCACATAACGTTTTCGTATATTTAACCAATGAAATACCGAATTCAGAAGTTTATTTTTTTTTCTTAAGGCCAGTAAGTATTTCAAAAAGTAAGTCGTGAGGTAATGCAGAATTTATAAATTTCTTCACGGACGAGAAAATTTCATTGAATTTTAATCGTGAAAACAAAAACAAAACTTTTTATCTTTTTTCCCACAGAAAAAGAGAGCGATACTTGCTACGTGTTTTATTTAGATCTGTGTATTGGTTACCTACTATTTGTTAGAGAATGAAGTTGTTGTTTTTCTATATATTTATTTAAATTTAAATATCTAAACAACAATAGCGCATGGTTAGTATCTTCTCAAGTGAAATTGTTTCTTTTCATAGACTAGTACTTAAATGCTTGTATAAGTTATGCGAAAATTTGACGGATGTCATACGCTGAGTTCATGAAAATCATACAAATACGCATGCTTAAAACAAAAAACTGGAATAAAATAACAAAAACTATTTTGCTGAAGATGAAAGGGTATTTCTTTCGATCAACGACACCGCGGCACCCACACTCTTTGATACTCCCTCCGCTCTCTTTGATGTGTGTTGTAAGTTTAACCAATACGATGAAGGTGTCGTCGATCTGAAGAAGAACCGATGAAAGAATGCTCCTTGCCATTAAGTGAGGATGTCTAAATCTACTTACTCAAATAAATGCCCTTTCTAGCCTGATTGTTACAAACTTTGTTATTTAAGCTATGAAGTTTTATTATGCATTGAATCATTTTGAATGTAAGACTGAAGAAAAAAGAACGAAAAAAACATGCTTAAAACATAATTAAAATTACTTTCACGCATCACGGATATCGTTTTCATAGCTGTAAAAAATGATTGGATCCAATGAAGTATTAGTATCGCTAGCTTGTGATAAGGACAGAGTTTTTTTGATAATCAGTGCAGCTTGTAATGTTTTTCATAAAGCATTTCGTTCATGGTCAACCTTACACGCACTTGAATAATATACATAAATGCTTGAGTAAGAATTCCAACGCGCGAATAAAATGTTCAGCGATGGAACAAGAAGTTCAAGCATCTGAACTTGTCAAAAATCCTTAAGATGTGTCCATATGACATGACTTTCTTGCGTAAGATACTGAAGAAATTCATGAACATGGAGGAAAAAAGTTCGACTAGAGCATCAATAAAAATTTAGTGTATTACAGACTACAACTGATACTTATCATATAAATGTATGGAAATATTTATATTTATATATATTATTTTCTTCATTAGACCTGCCAATAAAACCGCGAGGTACTTGTCTCGCCAAAATCTACAAAAAAAAATGGCGGTCGGAATTCATTCTATTAACCAGAATGTTTCATCGAATTCTACTAATCGGACTGTACTTCGACTACAGCGTCGTGTGAAACCTGATCTATGCCGTTTAGCAACTTTTCGACAATGGAAGACTAATACTCAAAGCAATGTTTCGCCTGCCGTGCTCGCTAAAGTTGGATTTTCATATACGGGAAAAGGTGATAAAGTACGATGTGATGCGTGTGGGCTCGAAATTGATAATTGGAAGACAGGGATGGATCCCAAACAAGAACATATGAAACGACGACCTGAATGTCAATTCGTTCTAGATCAACATGAAATATTTTCAAAAAATGGTATATTATCACTTTTTTGTCTGTCTACGAATCTACAGTGTTCGAAAAGTAATGATCATATTGCTTATAACTCTACTATCGATCAAATTTAATCTACCACGTTGCCTTCTATTTGAATGACGAGTTTAATTAATTTTTGTTTCTAAAGACGAAGTTCATTAACATTGTAGACAAGGTAGCAGTTTTGTCTACAGGCCGAAAATTAGACTATTTGTGATGCCAAAAACCGGGGATACAGATGTTTTGTAAAATATGTACACAAATTTTTACCATTATGGTAAAAATTATAATCGTTCAAATCTTTCCACATAACTTTATAATCAGTTCGTCTATTATATTCATATATATATGTATATATTCTTACGAAAAGAAAACAAGATGACTAATTTTAATGACAGCATATCTATTAAAATGATTTCATTCATTCATTTCTACAATTATTCAAGTTTTCTTAGACAAAAAAACTATCTGTTATGAAGAAATATGCCACCGAATGGATTGTTTTAAAATAAATCATTGCAAAGTGCTAAGCAGAAATTTGCATTAGATGAAGTCCATAATAAGAATAGATAGCCATATTAATATAAAAATCAAACGTTATATAATGTATTTTTGTTATAGATGAAATCAGTCTAAGTTTTTGACGACCGATACTGATATCGGTTTGATCGGTCTACTGATAAAAGATTGGTAGACCGGTCGACTGCCAGTATCGGATCCATCTATGTTATTTTTGAGTGAACTGATAAAAGCAAGTAGAAGTAAGTTACTAAAAAGGATACTCAGGTTAGCTATAGTAGATTTGCATCAAGGGAAGTAAACGATCTCAAAACTAACATGATTGCTCAATATTTAGAGAATCATTTAAATACTTGGCACAGTCATAATTGATTTGACAGATACCGAACATTGAACCGAAACTCGAGTTCGATGCATACTTATTGGTATCGAAAAAGGATTAATATTCGTATTGTAGCGAAAATCTCTTTTTAATAGAAAAAGAAAATTTTGAATTAAATTTGATTTGTAGTAGAGTTGTATGTATGTATAAAGTGATCATAACTTTTGAAACATTCTGTAGCATAAATATGTATCAGACCAAAACTACTCTATTTTATTGATCAATTGAAAGTCAATTGATTTTTATCACAAAAGAGTAGGATTCAATATTCCAATGAATTGTAAAATGAATTCAATTCTTGAAATAGGTTCTTAAAATATTAGATTAATAATAAATTGATATGATTTCTTTGAGAATAAAAAAGCAATTCGAATACTAGATATTATCAATTTTAAAAAATGATCTCTAGTCTTTTCATTTTTGAGAAATCATATGAATTTATTTTAATATCATTTTAATTATCTAGAAAATTGCTTCTATGGGTAGCTACATGATTACGATCGAACCAGAAATCCTAATATGATTCTTAATGAAGTTATGATTCATTTTGGTAGACACTTCATTTTGAACAAAAAAAAGGCTAAAGAATTTTCTTTTCTTTCTGTGTACATATTCAGATCAAACAATACTACTTCTTAAGCCAACAATTACATGTACTGATGTTGTCAACCCGGATATGCGAGGCTACAAGGATCATGGTGGTGGTGCTAGTGCTGGTGATATAATCAAGAAGGGTAACCAGAATCCATTCGTTTTTTCATTATCAACTGAAACAATGGACCGAGCTCGAGTGTATACATTATCAAATTGGCCGTCGATAACACCAAGTACTCAAGAAATGGCTTATGCAGGTTGGTGGTATACTAATATAGCAGACCGAGTGATTTGTATTCATTGTGACACAATGTTTCACAATTGGAATGAAACCGATAGACCGTATGAAATTCATCGTCTCAAATCTCCTCAATGTTTTTTCGTTCGTTCAAATGAACAGAAAGCGACTAATAATCAAAGACAAGAACCTGTACCTATTCCAGCAGCAAATGATGTACCCAATGGTCAAACTATTGTTGGAGCTGTACACGCTGACTATGCAGCAGTTTTTCGTCGACATCAAACGTTTCAAAATTGGCCAGAAGCCCAGCAGGAATCATTACCATCGATCGATTCTTTCGTCGATGCAGGATTTTTTTATACAGGTTCGATATATTTAGAAATATCCTATTTCATTATATTTTTTCTTCTTTAGGTGATAACACTGTCGTTCGATGCTTTTATTGTAATGGCGCATTACGAAATTGGCAAGCTTCGGATGATCCGAAAATTGAACACGCTCGTTGGTTTCCACAATGTGCATATATTCGACAGTTTATTGGTGAAAATCTTTACCAAGCTATACAACGTAAAAATCGTGAATTACGTGGTATGTGAAGAAAATAAAGAAAACTAAAAAAAAAATAAAGAAAACTAAAAAAATAACTACTATTTCTGTGCTTTTTTTTCTGTTACATTAAGCACAACAAAATTTACAAGAGAGTAATAATGGTGAAAATTCACAGTATACTCCATGGACAAACGATGAAGTCGATCGAATGGTTAAAGCTCGTCTTGATTTACCAGTTGTTGAAAGACTTCGACAAGAAGGTTATAGTATGGCAATCATTCGGTAATTTTATATGCTTTGATGAAAATCGATTTTTATTATTGTTGAATTTGTTTTTTTTTCTTTAGAAAAGTTTATGAGATGCAACTTCGTTTTAAAAGTAAATTAATTTGAAAGAACAAAAATTTATGATTTATATGTTGTTTAATAGAGGATGATTTCAAAACTGATGTTGACCTTCGTGTCGCATGTCTTATTCTAGACAAACAAGTTAAATTAATCAATGGGAACGAAGCTAATATACTTACTCCACAAAATTGGATGAAAAAATACATTGAGGAACAAGCACGAGGCCTTGGGTCCCTACAGACTGATTCTAAACCGGAATCTTTAGTTCAAAGTATGTGTTTTACTTTTAAACTCTATTCTTAATTTTTTTTTCATTTTAAAGAAGTTGATCCTCCAAAAATCATTACAACAGTTGCACCGCACCCAAGATTAATGTCGAAGACAGGTATAAATATTTATCGAATAATAGATTGTTGAATCATTTTTTTTCTTCATTTATAGAAGAACCAAATCTTTGTCTTCTGTGTCTGAATACAGAACGTCAAGTTGCATGTCTACCATGTGGTCATTTGACCAGTTGTGTAGCATGCGGTCATAGTTTGAAAACATGTCCGATTTGTCGAGCAGCGGTGAAAGCCTTCGTCCGCATATACACATAATCATGAAAATATTTTGGATTTTTTTTTCTTTTTTTCTCTTTTGCTTCACTTTTCAGTTTTCACTAACCAAAAAGCTGATTAATCTTACACTTATCAAACAGACAATGATCAAAATTGTCACAAATGAAAATTGTCTAAAATATTGATAATCAAATTGTGTTCAGAATATTTGAATAGAAAACATTGATGACTATCGATGAGAACAACATGTCAGATGTTTTTATTTTTTTGAAGAAATATAATTGAAGATCTTGTTTTTCACCAGAAAACTTTCAATAATTTCTCAGATATCTTATATGAAAGTTACAATGAGCCATGTTCCCAATTCGCTGGTTGGCCACGAATATGTATAAAATTGTGGCCACTATAGCTTGTTTGTTGCTAAGGACGGTCTTTTTTTCTTTCATCTATTTTTCTCAAACGTTTTACTGGTACGTACCAGTAAGACAATTGAGAGAGATAGATGAAAGAAAAAGAGACCGTCCTTAGCAACAAACAAGTTATAGTGGTCACAATTTTATATATATTCGTGGCCAACAAGCGNGGGTGAAAATTTGAAAAATGATCACGTAATATTTGGATCAACTATCTGAAATGGCTGGAATGGGGTGAATGTGTCAAATATTACGTGATCTCTTTTTCAAATTTTCACCCTCATGAAAAAACACCGGGTCCGGGTCTAGACCCGACCGGGTCCGATTTGCAGCTCTCTAATTGAGAGAGAAGAAACGTCTGTGTGTATATATGTACGTTTTCATATTTGTTTTTTTTTTTGCTCTAGTAGCCTCCTTTCATATGAGAAGACAATGATCATCGAATGCCAGTAAGATATCGAGAGATATTATTAATAGAAGATGAAGTTTATAACTCTCTGCAACAGTGTTCTGTTTACTTTACATCTGTTAATTGTGAAAGATCGAAATACTGAAGAAAAATATCTTTTCTACTGGAGAAATCAGTGAAGCATGTATTTGTCTTCACAATACTATGTGAATTACACCCCATCGAGAAAATCGATACTCGAAAAAATGTTGGGTGTGGGTGTGGGTGTGGATGTAGATGTGAGTGGGTGTGGGTGAATAAAATAGCAGACCGACATACATCCACACCCCACACCCACATCCACACCCATACCCGCACCATTACCAGCTATAAGAACAAGCTCATTATCCATCGGACAATTATTGCGTTTTTTACATGAAAAAGTAAGCCAAATTAGAGTTTTTCTAAGTTTTATTATGGACTGCAATGAACTTATTGACATCTGAATACACTGTATTACATTCGTTCAACAACATAAGTATTTTATGTGTTCATCCTTGAAACCTTGAAAGTTTTCATTGGGATTGTTTTAGAAGTTGAAACAATTGGTGTAATTCGATTATTAGGATGAAATCGAAACAGCTTTTTTATGATATTCATCAGTTCTCTTCTGTATATGCTAGCCGATAGAAAGTATAAGATGACCGATGTAGTATATGATAAACTGTAGATAAGCTTAGTTAGTTGAAATGCAAAATAATACTCGATTGGACTTAAGTATTGAACAGGCAAAAAGCCCAACATATAAACTACAGCTAATGGTGTAGAAAGTAAAATGTAGCAACTAAGTTGAACAAGAAGCATGCGAGCAAGTTGACGTTCAGTGCGATGAGATCGTGAATATGTAATAGGAACAACACGAGATGCCTTTGCATTGTATATGGCCAGGATACCAAAGGTTAGTATTAGAAATGGAGGTATAATACTTAAAAGACTGCTGGAATAATCGGATATACACGAGTATAAATTGTTGTTGGTAAAATATGACATGAAATTGCTTGGCCTGGTTGTGTATCTAACAGTATCAGAGAACTAATAAAGAAAAGTGCGATAAAGATGAAGGTGGATAAAATAGACCATCGAGTAACAAACAAATTGCTGAGTTTCCGTCGTTGAGGATTTGGAGAACTGACACAATATCGATCGATCGACGCTGGTACAATAAAATATGGCGATACTACGAGAGATACTTGTTGAAGATAGAGAATAACTTTACACCATAATTGGGAATTGCTTGTTGGATCTATTTGATAGCCAAGTGACAAAAGATTAAATGTGAGAAGAAAGATTGAGAAGAACAAATTGTTGCTAGCAAGTGCGAGAAAATAACGAGAGCATGGATGATTGTACAATACAGATCTTCTAAGTACAGCTATATTGAGCGAATTTCCGACGATTCCGATCACCATACTTGGAGGTAAAACTATTCGTGTGAGTAGAGCAACGAGTTGAACACGTGAATTCATCATCAGATTTTTTTTCTATTGAGTTGATCTTAAGAATACGAAACATTTCTTACTAAAAGATACTTCTTAGTTCCATATGTTGTTTATTATCGAGTCTAATCATAAAATCAACTTACAGCTCTTTTTCTTACGAGAAAAAGTTATTGCCATTCAGTCACTGAAAAAGATAGGATTACATGAGCTGATCATAGTGTTTCAGAAAAATCTTACAATTTCTGTCTCATATGGTAACAAGAAAAAAAGAGCAAAACGATTATTATTTCATATATCTAATGTTCGATCACATATATATTGGCATTTATAATTTATTCGTGTCTTTTAAACTGACAGTCAGTCAAGGATTCAGCTAATCAATGCTTCTTATAGTACGGTTTGTGATTCAAAGCTTTAAAAACTAATAACATCATATTAGTGCTAACGGGGATCTAATTAAGCACAGAATTAACTGTGTTTTTAAGCGTCAAAACATGTATGGCATTGTGACATATGAAATAATATTCCTTTTAATTCTTTTCTTGTTACTGCGTATGAGAGATATGCTTACATCTTCAAGAGTAGAGCCTAACAAATAGTTGTAAAACAACATTCTTCGGGTTTTGATGAAAACATGTCCTACCGTGCAATGAGCCATGTTCCCAATTCGCGTGTTGGCCACGAATATGTATAAAATTGTGGCCACTATAGCTTGTTTGTTGCTAAGGACGGTCTTTTTTTCTTTCATCTATTTTTCTCAAACGTTTTACTGGTACGTACCAGTAAGACAATTGAGAGAGATAGATGAAAGAAAAAGAGACCGTCCTTAGCAACAAACAAGTTATAGTGGCCACAATTTTATATATATTCGTGGCCAACAAGCGAATTGGGAACATGGCTCATTGTTTTATGAAGATATTTATAAAACAATTTGATTATCAACATTTTAAGTACTTCTCATTTGTGACAATTTTGATCATCGTATAAATAGCAAGGGAAAATAGCGAGACTTTAGTACTCTGAGATATGGTGAATTACTGTATTTCATTCGTACTTCATTGGTAGTTTACTCGTATCAGTGCGAGTAAAGTACAACTGAAGTACAATGACGTACGAGGAAGTACTGTACTTCTTTGATACTTTACGTGTATGCCACTCGTATTTCGGAATACTAAAGTCTTGCCTTTTCTTTCTTGAGAAATAGCCTACTCCCGGCGCATGTGAAAATGAAAGAAAAAACCTAATTAACTTACCTACTCTACAAAAATCAATATGCTCGTATATTCTTACTCCTTTCATTCAATCAATTGTTGACGCCACATTATTCAAGAGACTCTTTGGTCAATTATTCGCTTATCTCCTTACTGACTTGTCAAACTTATTTTTCATTTTTACATGAAACGGGCCTCAAATGATTTATTGTAACTCACATTCTTTGAAATAAACATATACTTAATATACACAACTATATATATAGTCTTTTAAAAACGAAAGATTTAAATTAAAATATGACCTAATATAGTAATCATGAAAACATTAATATTATTAACAATTAAAAATTAAGTTCGAAAAGATCGATTTATATTGATTAATATTTATACGATTAGATGTTATTAAATAATTTATCGCATAGTCCATAAAATAATGCATCTTTCAGTAATTTGATTATAAATCCTTTTGCTCTTTTGAATCTTCGTAAACAGAAGATTCATTGTCAAATTCTCTACGAAAAAAGTATTTGACAGACAACTTAGCAACAACTATCTACCATTACAGATATAACTGTGAGATCAAAGTCCACTGCTGGATTAGTATGACAGCTGTCTTTACTTCTTTTCCACACTCACTGCAATATATTGCGATTAATATCTATCACCATCGACATACATTAACAGTGGGTAGAAATTCATAAACTAAAACATCTATTAATTAATCTTCTCCCGCGTTGTAATACTTACAACTTCCGGTTTCAGCTTTAAACGATCGTAAAAAATGTTTTCTACTCAAATTCGAACTATTTATTAGAAAGAATTCAAGTTAACCGAGAAGAAAATAGTTTCTGAATATATTTTACTAATAAAAGGTGGTCCCACTTTTTCTGTAGAAGAGGATAATTACTATTTTTTCAATTTCATTCGAATTAGTAATATGTATTCTTAGAGCTCAAGACGATCAGATCTTGAGATTTTGTCGTCTTGAGTTCTTTTGATCTCGACTGTCGATTGATCTCTTGGCATGTTCTTAATCAATAAATAATCTAGAAAAAAAGATATAAGCTCATTATGTTCAATAAAATTGGTTATATGTTGCTGTATGCGCAAAACGAAACGATGAATGAATAGTTAGCAACCAGAGCACGAGACATTTTATTTCAGTGTGTGGTTGATAGAGCTATTCAATGACTATAATATCTGTATATTTTCTTTTCTTTGTATTACTTACTGCATTGATAGTGTTTGAGCAGATGCGTTTTTCAGCGTAGCATGTTGGTCGACTTTTTTATGTTGAATATTCTTCGTTTGATTTCTTTCCTTAATAGAAATAAACCTGATTAATTTTTAGTAGAAAAATTTGACAACGCATCTTCTTCAAAAACAATCAAGTTTATAAGTTTAAAAGAGAAAAAGCTTTAGTAAATGTTCTGAATAATTTTTTATTCAAGGTCTACTCACTACTGCTAAAGAGAACAGAAAGAAAAAAAACATTGATGACTGATTCACCCAATATTTTTCCCGCATT